AATATTATTCCTTAAGTCTTTATTTGATTAATTTTTGTGCCAATCTATTATTTCTTGCTACCTTTTGCCTTAAGGTTTAGATTGTTCTTGTTTTTTTCTACCCCTTGAAGTGCAGTGATATTTATATGAAATTTTTGTAACTTTTGTTTTGTTGTTTTTTGAGACAGACAGGGTTTCTCTGTGTATCTCTAGCTGTCCTGGAACTTGTAATGTAGACTAGGCTGGCCTCAAACTCACAGAGATCCACCTGCCTCTGCATCTTGAGTGCTGGGATTTACTGTGTGTGCCACCACCACCTAATGTGACTGTTTTAATGTAGGTTTTCATAGCTATACCCCCTCCAGTTGGCACTGGGGAACTGTACTACAACAGTTCTGGTAGGTTGTGCTTTTACTTAATTTCTACTTGAGTCTCAGAAATTTTAAATTTCCTCCCTGGTATGTTCGATGACTCACTTTTCATTCAGGAGTTTATTATTTTTCATGCTAGAGAGATGGCTCTGCAGTTAAGAACGCTGGCTGTTTTTGCAGAGGACGCAGGTTCAGTTCCCAGCATCCACATGGTGTCTTACAACTATCTTTAACTCTAGTTCCAAGTGTTTGACGCCTTCTTCTGGGCCTTCAAGGTTGGCAGGCATAGACAGGGCACACATGTACACATGCAGGAAAGACATTCAAGCACATTAAAACTTTACAAAATCTTTTTTGAAGGTCTATTATTCATCTCTGTATGTTAGTGTAGCTTCTGTTGTTTTACTAATAATCTCTACTTCTGTTTCACTGTGATCTGGTAAGATACCAGAAATGGTTTCTATTCCTTTGTATCTGGTAAGACTTGAATTGTCCTTTTGAATATGTGCCTTTTTTTTTTTTTACTGGAGGCTCCATGGGTTTTTATCTGTTGAATGAAATAGCCTATTGTTAGACCCCCGAAAACTCAAGTATCCGGGGTCTCAGGCCAGGTTCGCGGTCACCCCAATCACCAGGCGGATTCGAGAGCTTGCTGCAAACTGCACGAGGCTTTATTGTAATTTAACGAACTA